CTCCGTCTCTACCCTCGCCCTCCCCTTCCCACCCTTTCCATCAGCAAATCCTCCCCTCCCCCGCTTCTCCTCTTACCGCTCTACCCACCATGTCTTAGACGACGTGATCGTTGACGAGCTCCGGAGAGAACTCTAGGAATCGCAAATAAATTCTTATTAGCTCGAATGGATATTCGCCCGGTCTCCCTTCCCCCCACCGCAACCATCCTCCCCCTTACCACTACTAACGACGGATGTTTTGCTTCTGGATGGTGCACGACAATGCGATCTTTTTTCTTTTTCTGCGTTTTTTTCTGCGTTTTTTTCACTTCTTGTTTCTTTTCTCGTTTATCTCCCTTTCTTTCCTTCTCTTGCTTATTATTATTATTATTATTATTATTATTATTATTATTATTATTATTATTATTATTATTATTATTATTATTATTATTCAAAGAAAATCGTGCACAAAGGCCACGCCTAATCGACCCACGTTATTTCCTTCGTCTCTTATTGCAATCTCGACTTATGTATTTATTATATAATGTAGGATTTTGTAATCAAAGAAATTAAACGGGTTTGACGTCGGGCGTTGAGAGATAAATAATTCATTGTTATTGAAAAAAAAAAAAAATATTTAATAAGAAAAAAACAAAAAAAAAATATATATATATACATGATGGTAAGTTTGCGATTAATATACGATAGAAAAAAAAGAGCGGGAGAGGGATTAAAGAAAATGAAAAAAAAAAAAAAAAAAAAAAAAAAAAAAAAAAAAAAAAAAAAAAAAAAAAAAAAAAAAAAAAAAAGAAAAAAAAAAGAAAAAAAATGTAATAGGTACTATCTAAGATGATCGAGAAGAATAATTATGTGATATAACACGAACTTTGTAATTAATATTTTACTAACGTTTTATATAAATATAGTTGTTATTTCACAATTTATAATAATCGACGAGATGTATCGATATTTAAGTAAATGTAAAAAAGATTATTTTAAATAATAGAGGGGAATAATTGCAATAGAAAAAAAAAAAAAAATATATATATATATATATATATATATAGTACGTAAATTGTTGTAACTAATCCTTCGTATGAAAATAGTCACGTATTATATTTCTTAGTTTAAAATAATCGACGAGAAAGGGATCAAAGGTTAAATCATTGTAGAAAAGGCAATTAGATATGAAATATGATAAAAGACATTAAAGAACGGTGTACGTACGAGGAAAATTAATGGAGAGACGGGATGACGTTTCTTTTATCGTATAAATTATTCATCAAACTTCGTCGAGAGAGAGAGAGAGAAAGAAGGAGAGAAAGAGAAAGAGAACGGTAAGAATAAAATGGAACGCGATCGCACGATTTGTTTCACTGACGGATACTGCATGAATTTGGATTGAGCTATCGAGGGATTCGTTTTAATGGCTTTCTATTTTCGATTTGTACAACGTAATCGAATCAGAGAAAGAAGAAACAGAAGATTTGCGTAAGTCCAAGGTGGAGGAACGAGTTATACAACTGGTCCCTATTGAATGACGATTCGATTTGATTGGAGTACGAAGAATACCGGAAGGAAATGTGAAACGCGCTTGGAAATACATTCAGTATTACGAAGCAGCGATTATGAAAGTGTTCCGATCGTACATACATACATACATACATACATACATACATATATATATATATATATATATATATATATATATATATATATATATATTAGATAAATATACTTTTTCTCTCTATTTCGAGATATTTCATGAGCAAAAATAATTTTTCTATAAATGACGAACATATAAATCGATGGCACATTTATTTCCGATAAAGAAAGAAAGAAAGAAAAAAAAGGAAAAGAAAAAAAAAAAATTTATTTCCTTTTATTATAATACAAAAATTTTACGAATGTAAAATTTACATTCGACTGCCGACGCTTGTTGGCAATTAAACGAAGAATTCAAATTTAATTAAAAATTTTGAAAATATTGAAAGACGAAAGTTCATGAACGAACGATATTTCTCCCTCCTCTCCCCCACTTCTCTCTCTCTCTCTCTCTCTCTCTCTCTCTCTCTCTCTTTCTCTCTCTCTCTCTTTCTCTTTTTCTTTCGCTGAACATAAAAATAAAACAAGAAGAAGGTAACGAGTGTGCGAGATATCTCGCTTTAGCATTCGTGAAAGTAACGGGCATAGATTACGACGCGTTTTATACAATTTTTCATCAATGCAATACCATACCGAGAGTGGTGGTGCCGCCGCGAGTTTATGATTTTGCTTAATTAATGATCACTACTTTCTGCCCCACTCTGTTCAACCAATCTTCCCCCACCAATGTCCGAGAGCAAGCTTCACGACTCGTTCCCCACTACCAACTGCAATGCCAGAGGGCCACTGTTGGCGGCAGCGGCGGCGGTGGCGGTGACGGCGGTGGCAGTGGAGGCAGTGGTGGCGGCCATTAGCCCGCGCGGATTGCGCAATTTCGGGAAATTGCGATGTAATTCGCGGTTGCGGCCTCGAAAGAACGACTCTCTTCGTGGATTCTACGAAAGGGATTCTCGTTCGACGAGTCTCGACATTTTCCTCCTCCTTCTCCTCCTCCTCCTCCTCCTCTTCTTCCTCTCTCTCTCTTTCTCTCTTTCTCTCTCTCTCTCTTTCTTTCTCTCGCTTTCTGGTTCGTCCACGTGTAATCTCGATAATTCGCGGAAGAATTGATCGGTAGAAAAGTACTTAAAAGATTATTCTCATTGATGACGATGAAGAAAAGATAATGACTCCGTTCCGTGGAAAATTTTTATATCATTATAACGTTCCTAGAGTAGATGAATATATATATATATATATATATATATATATATAAAATAGGCTATAAAATTCGTATTCATAACAATATATTCGATAGATCTCAAGGACATTTAAAATCAATGAAATATTAATTAATATTTTCGCCTAAAGACTGATATCCAAAATGCAAAGGATATCTAGCACAGAATGAAAAAAAAAAAAAAACAAATTAATAATAATAATAATAATATTAATAATAATAATAATAAAGCAATCGCGTCCTCGTCCATGCTGGCTAATTCACCCTTCACCTTCTCCCACCACCAAAGTCTTATATATACACGGTAAATGTAGATAAGTACGTGACCAAACGTGACTCTCGTATAAAAAGAAGGAAGCAGAGAAAAAGGAAGCGCGAAAGTTTCGAATAATTCGCGCTATTTGGAATAGGAAAAAAATTAAAAAAATTAATTTGTCTACGATACCGATGCTATTCTGAGTACTGAGTTCCCAGTCTTTCATGAGGATTTCTCGGGCAGGTCAGGATGACGGCGACGTGGATGCACCTATAATGCAGACATTTATCGTAGGTATATATAGATCAAATCTTATTTACAAAATAATAATATCTGCGTGTAACACTTTACGTGTTCACGCGTTTTCAGATGTAAATAAATAAATAAATAAATAAAGAAAGAAAGAAAGAAAGAAAGAAAGAAAGAAATCTATCGATCGATCGATCAATCGTCCAATCGATCTCGATTTATCGTGACATTATTACAATGATGATATATAATAGTCAAGATATATATATATATATATATATATATATATATATATATATAATAAATCGTAAAAGAATATTTGCACGTACATAAATATTCATTCGATATAATCACGTAATCGTTAAATCGTGCCACAAGAGAGCCACAGTGGTTTTATCTTTTTGTATTTCCTTTTTCTTTTCTTTTTTTTTTCTTTTCTTTTTCCTTTTCTCTCTCTCTCTTCGTTCTGCTACGCAAAAGGCCGGACGTCCTGACTTTCACGTGAACACGAGTTTCTGTTTCGCAGTGAAATCGGCATGTTTCGAGCGAGCATGTGAACGATAAAAGGAAGGATCTTGTAAGAACGAAGAAACGAACGAATTAACGCAAGAAAGAAAGAAAGAAAGAAAGAAAGAAAGAAAGAAAGAAAGAAAGAAAGAAGGAAGGAAGAAAGGAAGGAAGAAAAGAACGAAAAAATCGTAGCGAACGAATGAATTGAACCGAACCGAACTGAACTCAACGAATAAGATTCTTATTACGATTCTTCTTTTACGGTTACGCTCGTCGGCGTCTTCGGAAAGCGTGGAGATGACGACGAGCAATGCCGGTAATGAAAGAGAGAGAGAGAGAGACAGAGAAAGACAGAGAAAGAGAGAGAGAGAGAGAGAGAGAGCCATAGCTTTTGCCATGATCTAATCCTTCCTCCTTTCAACGAAAATTACATAAGAATTCTTTTTCGCACGTAAATACGTATGTATATACATATTTACTTACCTCTACCTTCGCGATTCAACATTAATGGACTACTCTACCTATTAATAACGATAACTAATATTCAAAATCAAATTCTCCGATATTAAATCAATTTCTTTCATGACTGATTAGATTTCATTTATAACTCTCCCCACTCACCCTCCTCGCTCCTCCAGCCTCTCTCTCTCTCTCTCTCTCTCTCTCTCTCTCTCTCTCTTTCTCTGTCTTTTTGTTTCCATCGTTCGAAATGCGAAACTAGTTCGTTTTTCTTTTCTTTTACAAACTAAGTTGAAATATAAACGGAAAAGAAATGGAAATGAGAAAACGTCGGTTTTTAAAGCAAAAAAAGAAATGATATACATAAATAAATAAATAAATAAATAAATAAAAGAACAAAAAATGTATAGAACAAGTTTCGCGTATATTATTAATCGATAGAAAAATGTATTCGTTGTTAATAAATCTATAAAAGATTACAATTATAATTAAATATATATTCGATAAAGTCTGAACAATTTTTAAGAAAGAAAGAGAGTGAGAGAGAGACAGACTGACAGACAGAGAGTTACTTCAAATCGGATATAAAGAATGAAAAAGTGAACACTAGTATTAAGGGAGTAGTAAACTCCTCCTCCTCCTCCTCCTCCTCCTCCTCCTCCACCTCCTTCTCCTCCTTCTCCTCCTTTTCCTCCGCTTAAATTTAGATCTTTTAGGATGTCCTTCGAGTCCGAAAATACGAGAGAGTTAAATACCGTGTGTGCTACGTTTCGCGAATCCAGGCACGAGCTGTAAGAACAGTTGAAAAATAAAAACAGAAAGAGAGAAAAAAAGAGAGAGAGAGAGAGAGAGAAACGTCTCTCGATTTATTATCAGACGACTTGTGTCCCCTTATCCCTTCCTTTCTCAAGAATCGAACGATCGAATTACTCGCTAAACCACTGGTGTTAACACTACATACTATCAAAGAACACACGGATACAATGTCCTCGTAATAATCGTCATAATAATTATATCGTTGTAGTAGTAATCGTTATAGTAGTCATCGTTATAATCGTCATCGTAGTCGTCGTTACGTAACTAAGAAATAAACATGTATTTATCTTATGGATATATCTCTAAACCATAGATCGTCGTATATAAATACATGACACAAACGAAATCACTGCTCCAATCGATCTTCTTAATCTTTCTTAAAGGCACTTAAGCGTCGTCGTAGAAGAAAAACAGAAAAAAAAAGAAAAAAAAAAAGAAAGAAAAAAAGGAAAAAAAAAACGAGAAAGAAAAAAAGAAGAAGGAAAGAAAAAAACTTGGGCGTGAATCAATTTTCATGCTCGTAAATTCAAATTCAGGACGCTAGTACGTGGGACGTCTGAGCGTAGGTGCTCGAAAATAGATCGAAAGAGGGAGAGAAAATGTGTGTGTGTGTGTGTGTGAGAGAGAGAGAGAGACAGAGAGAGAGAGAGATCTTCTGAAACCATAAAGTGATTTTTGCGTTACTATACGAAAGAAGTAAAAAATCGTCGGATATTTTTCTTTTTCTTTCTACTTTTTTACTTTTTTTTATTTTCAATTTCATTTACTCCGAAAATTGTATAATCAACTGAAGGATAATAATAATAATAATAATAATAATAATAATAATAATAATAATAATAATAATAATAATAATAACAACAATAATAATAATAAAAAAATGAATAATAATAATAAAAAGAAAAAGAAAAAGCAATGAATCGATTTAGATAAAAATTTTGTGCGCGATTCGTCAAAGTTATATTTATAATTCGTTCTTTAAATCGAAAGAAAAAAAAAAAAGAAAAAAAAAAACCAAAAGAACCAAAAAACAAAAAATAGAAAAAGAAGAAAAAAGGACAAAAAAGCAAAACAAAAGGAAAATTCATTTGCTTTAACTTCTATCGATTGAAGAGAAAATTTTTGAAACGGGTTTAAAAGTGTGTCTTGTAAATGTGTCCTTGAAGTCAGAAAAAAAAAAGAAAAAAAAAGAAAGAAGCTTCGGCAAAAGGAAAACGATCGAGTGATCGAGCGATCGAAAGGTTGGGAAGATTGGTTGACGGTGTGGTAAGAGAGAAAGAAAAAAAAAAAAAAAAGAAAAAAGAAAGAAAGAAAGAAAGAAAGAAAGAAAGAAAGAAAAAGAGGACCAAGGAAAGCTCGATGAGTTTGTCGACGTTCGAAAAAAATTTTTAAATAAAGAAAAAAGGAAAAAAAAAATTATTAAAAAAGAAAAAAAGAATAGGAAAATGAACGAGAAGTTTTCTCCGAATATTTCTCAAAAGCACTCGCGAAGCTGCTTTTCGAAAGGAGAAAACCAAAGCTTTCTTATTCCTTAGAAACACTTTGAAAAGGAGCAACGAATATAATTTAGTTCTTAGTTCTAAATGATCGTCAGTGACTGATTTTTCCAAAAAAGAAAGATTATTTTATATATATATATATATCCCTTCTATCGAGTCACGTAAAAAGTTTAGATAGTTTTTTTTCAAAACATCGATTTGATCGTTCATATTCGAAAAAAAATGGAGATAGAAAAAAGAATGTATACACGCATCTTTCTCTCTCTCTCTCTCTCTCTCCCTCTCTCTATCTATCTATCTATCTATCTATCTATCTCTTTTCATTTCTATGCGAAATGTTGGTAATGTAGAGGGTTAGAAATGAACGTTCACCGAACGAGGAAAATGAATTAAAATGAAAATAGTGCGCCGGAGGAGATAGAGTGAGGTAAGTGTGTGTGCGTGTGTGCGCGCGCGTGTGTCTGTGTGTATGTGTGTATGTGTTATACGAGGGAGGAGGGAGCTGGATAAAAAAGGAAAAGAGAAAAAAGAAAAAAAAGAAAAGGAAAAAAAAGGAAAAAAAAAAAAAAGAAAAAACAGGAAAAAAGAAAAAAGAGGAAGCGGGAACGTGTGCATGACGAAAGCTCGATTTCGTTTTGCAACATCGACAAATCTTTTCCTTTCTCCGTTCGCCTAAAGTCACTACTGCGTATATATCGTGAACGTAACGAGCACTCGATTACTATTAGTGGAATAGGCGAACGAACAAATGAATTAACGAACGTACGAATGATTTTCTTATGACGCTTCACTTCCATTTTTTTTTCCTTTCTTATCGACAAAGAGAGAGAGAGAGAGAGAGGAAAAAGAAAAGAAAAAAAAATCCTTGATACGAGATACAAAGTAACATAAAGGCTCCTTTCGTTCTCGACGTAGTCCATGTATCGGAAGAATGCGAGCTCGGAAGGACGAACTTTTTTTTTTATTCTTTTTTATTCTTTTTATTATTCCTCATTTACTTTTTTTCTTTTTTTAATTAATTAAATTATTTATTTATCCTTTTTCTCTCATTATTTCTTTTTTCTTTTTTTTAAGTGACAAGGAATCTCGAGGGTGAATCCTGATCGAAGGTAACGTCCTTGCTGAACGAGGACATGTATCTACTTTAACGTTTAAAATTATCAATTATATATATATATATATATATATATATATATATATAACTTTCGAACGTATATACATAAATACATACATACATAAATACATTATTTAATTGAACTTTCGTTCGACCGTCGAAAATTCGTAATTAACGAGACGTAAATCTAATTGCTATTAATTGTCGTAGGAATTATAACGAAAGAACGATAAACCTGTGAAATAAATAATAGTTAGAATATCATAGTTCACACGTTGTCTCGCGTTAGATCCGTGAACACGTTGAAAATTTCTCGGGTATCGTTGAAGAAAGAAAGATGAAAGAAAGAAAACAAAAAAAAAAGAAAAAAAAAAGGAGAAAAAAAAAGAAGCAAAAAAGCAAAAAAAAAACAATCCAAGATACAAACCAATTATAGATATGATATTTGAACAAATAAATTTCTAACGATAATCCTTCTTACGATCTCATTTCATCGACATATATATATATATATATATATATATATATATATATGTATATGTATATTTATATACATATATACGTACACTCACTTACTTACTTTAATATCAAACTATAGAGACTATGATTGATAGAATAGAAAA